AAATTTCATGTCATTAGCACCTCTAGTAATATATTTACTGAGAAAAATGTTGACGTGTTCAATACTTATTTTACCCACTGTATATATTTATATTTAAACAAATTCAACAAAAAAGCAAATCTTTGGTGAAATATTTTGAAGATACRGATGTTGTGCTCATTATTTTTCCTGTTGGTGCATTGTGATCTTTGTAGACTGACTCTGCACTTYCTCTGCCGTCTGGTAAAAATAGGATAGAATCAAATTTTGGCACTACACTTAAAAGTGCACTTTTCCAAAATGGTTAATATTAACGATTTGGGTTGATGGTTCGTTTTAGGTAGTGAGGTCAGGAATAGGATGTATAGGGCTAATAGAAGTTAAATTTAGGGTTTGGGATGGTTAGTTGTCGTGCATTTTCTACACTTTTCAAAAATATGACACTGAGCTCCTCCTTGTTCTCTTCTTTTCAATAACTGATGTGAKGGGGTTWCCTGACGTGTCAAAACCGGACRCAGAGGGAACCTTGGACAAGCGTCGATATGTGACAAGTTGAGAGTGAAAATGACCTGAAAGATATGTCATCTTTCAGTTTATCATTTACTCTATGACTGAGATTCAACTTGTTGGTGCTAAACTATTCATTTGATTTGATAACTTTCACAAATTTAACTTGGAAAATGCWAACAAAGTGTGTCTTTGTCTAACTCAAAACAGTTTATTTTTTTGTTTGTTTGTTTTTTTCTAAGTTGTTCATTTTGTGCTGACACAAAACAGTCCATGTTTTGAATTTAGGAGCCTTTTTTCTATRTCTGATTAAGTTATAGGTCACACAGTTAAGCAGCTTAACAAACCGAAACCCTTTCCTTTGGCATCTCCTTCAAAGCAAAAAGAAAAGAAAATTCATTCTAATCCTAAAACCTAARCCTTTAATTGTAAGGATACATTTGTTTTTATAAAGCTGTAGTACACATKGATACAGTGGGCTTTGTGTGTGTTGGTATCATAAAAAACTGTCACATATACACATAGAGATGGAGTGGGGTTTTATTTTAATGAGAAGAAAAAGAATGGACTGCATGCTCAGAAGGCTCATTTGTTCTGTGAAGCAGGAAACCCACAACAGACTGGGCACATCCTGTCCAACACCTGCGAAATGAAGCCATGAAGGAGATATATATGAGTATATGAGAAACTAATATTGAACTAGCTGCTTATATTTTATTGACAAGTAGTTTAAATGTTTGTTCAGAATCTTTTGTGGTTTGTTATTCTTTTTATCACTTTGGATCATTCAGTCATGTTCTTCTGCTTTTTTCTTGCATTATTATTATCACTAGATGTCTTGTCTTTGCTTCCCGTTGTCCTCTTACCTGTGTCCCTTTATTAATCAGCACATTTCTTGTCATCTTCTAATCACCCTTCTCAGTGTGCACCTCAGTTTTCCTCAGTCTTTGGCTACGTTCACACTGTGGGCAAATGCAACCCAAATCTGTCGGTTTTGCCCCGCTTGTGTCACGTTTCATCTGACTTTTACTTCTGTGAGGTTGTTGGTTCAATTTAATAATAATGACACTAACCTCGAGTCATGCAGTTTAAATCTAGCTCCACATGTCTTCAGCTACAGAACAGAAGTCCAGTTGCTTCATTGTTTGCCTTGCATTTTAGGTTCTTAAAGGATTCCCGTAACTCGCTTCTGGTGTGTTTGCATTGGGGTCCTTTATAAAACTCCACAACCAAACTCAGACATGTAAACCTTATTCAGGCATTTGTTTCCTCTTAAGGACAAACCTTTTGTTTATTGTGGTGTTTCAGATTTAATCCACTAAGATTTTTATCACATTTTCAAATAAAATAAAAAAAAAACATCTTGCTTTACTGTTACAACATCCCTTCATGCATTATCAATTTGGGCTTTGGACATTTTCAAATTGCACACATAGCACATAGTTCCCAGAAAGAATACAAAGTTATAATTTAGTTTTTTCTAGTAATTACACCACTGATGGAAATGTTGAAATGACATAACAGCCACTCTGTGGTTGGCAAATGAGTCCAAATCACGTAGTTCTTCTATGGGGTATTAGCTCAGTGCAATTTTGATGTTAATGTTTGTCTATTTGTCTCTATTTTATATAGGAAAACTTTTTTCTTATACGTATACATGCAGTGCTTTATAGATGGTTTTTTTTTTCTTTTGTAAAAACATGTTTAGTGCTGCACTTGTGTTCAGCCTGTAGATAAATTTTCATTTTTATCCGTCATCATTACTGAAGGCTCGCGTCAGACAAGGAAAAAATCTTTTATGAAAAAAACCAATCCTAAAAGGACCATTTCACATAAGTCTATTAGTATGAAAGGGACATCAGCGGGAAAAGGCTTCTTCTCCCCTCAAGGTCTGTTTGAGGTAGTTTAACAACTGTTTTAGAAAATTAGCAACGGGAATATGAATGTGTTTCCAGATGAAGTGTTTTCTCTCTCTCCACACACACACACACACACACACACACACACACACACACACACACACACACACACACACACACACAC